ACCGCCGCCCGTCGCCACCCCCCACGGTGAGCCCCTGCCGCCCCCACGGTCACCCCTCTCCTGTTTTTTCTATTTTTTCTGTTTAGTTTAGGTTATTTAGTTTAATTAATTTAGGTTTAATTACTTTTTTAGTTTAGGTTTTTTAATTTAGTTAGTTTAAGTTATTTAGTTTAATTAATACCCTAAGTATTCCAATGTGTGGGCAGTGAATACTTCGGTTTCAGAAAACTGCAATGCATGGTTGAAAGCAATTTTGTGAACCGGAGAGAATACTTTTGATGGGGTTTTTTTATGATGTTTTCTTTGTAAGACAGCACTATAGATGGTGTGTTTTCTGGATAAAAAAGTGATACTAAGAGCTTGTTGATGGTATTCTCCTAAAACTCTAAAAACACTAAAGTATTTGATGTTGATGTTATTCTAAGGGTGTTCTTGATGTTGATGTTCTTCTCCTACTCATTGCCAAGATAGAGTAGTAGCAAATTGAGGCCATTGCCATTTATAGTAGTATTTCAAATTGAGGCTCTGGCAAAGACATCTAACTAAGTGCTTGTTTATCTTGCTTTGCTTTTTGAATTATAGTTCTTGCCATCATAAATGTCCACAAGTGCATTGCTTTTTGAATGTGAAATGATAACTTGGTGTAGTTGATTCTCTTCTGCTCAAAACTTCTGATGCTGTAATGTTGTATGATAATGTTGTAAGGGTAGTAATTGGTCTCTTCTGCTGCTTATCAGAGATGGGGGAGGCCGCCACCACCGGCTGCGCTCTGCCATGCCGGAGTCCGACTTGGAAGGTTTCGAGTTCTTCACGATCATACTTGAGAATTCCTCCAGCAGGCAGGTATATAAAATGAGAGATCTCCCCTTCACCCATCTCCTTATCATAACTCTGTTGTTTGCTACATCACTGCTTGACCCACGCTGCAGAGGCTGCCTAACACTTTTATGAAGATGCTGGACAGCCGTTGGCCACAGAATGTAAAGCTGCGACAGGCCGACAGCGGGCTTCGCAGGCTGTGGGACATGGAGGTGGTGTTCGACACCGACCGCCACATGTACCTGTGTCGTGGCTAGGAGCAGTTCGTCTGTGCCTACGACCTACGGCACAGATACTTCCTTGTCCTCAGGTACAACAACAACGTCATGCTCACCGTGAAGGTGTTCAACACGACTATGTGCCGCATGCGCTACCAGGACGACGATGATGCCAGTACGCTCTGTCTCTTCTTCCTCTCCATTTGGCTTTGTCTCAGACCGATTGTTAAAAAAAACTTTGTTGCATTTGGTCAGGCAATGGGAGCAGCAGCAGCGACTCTAACTACGGCAAAAGCAGCAGCAACTCTACCTACAACAAAAGCAGCATCGACGATGAGGAGGAACGGAGTGTGGAAGAAGAGGAGCAGAGTGGAGATGTGGAGGTGCAACCTATTCTGTCTAACGATTACCTCACGATGGTGGTGGCTGACAATGGCCAAGCGATGGTGGTCGTTGACGATGGGCAAGCGATGGTGGTGGCTGACGATGACCTAGCGATGGTGGTGGCTGATGATGGGCAAGCGATGGTGGTGCCTGAAGATGGCCTCACGATGGTGGTGGTGCCTGAAGATGACCTAGCGATGGTGGTGCCTGAAGATGACCTCGCGATGGTGGTGGCGCCGGCGATCCCATGGCTGGGAGACAAGACCATGCCAATTATGGTAGAAGAGTACATCCCACTGCCTCGCCGCTCTAAGCGCATCAGGATGATGAAGGAGAAGGAGAAGGAGGAGTGAAGATCCTTCACCTCCGTGATGACGGTAAGTTTTCTGTAGTGTTTTGCTTACGAAATGCATAAAGACCTAGACTTAGCTTTATTTCCTCCAAAATGCTTACCATAATGACCTAGACTTAGCTTATCTTCCTCCAAAATGACATAATTAGCTTACTTAGCTCCAAAATGATCTATACTTAGCTTTGTTTCCTTCGAAATGACCTAAGTTAGCTCTAATATGCTAAATTATCTCTAATATGCTTAGTTACCTAGGTTTGCTCAATAATGACATGCACTTAGCTTACTTATGTAAAAAATGGCATAATTAGCTTACTTAGGTTTGAAATGGCATAACAGTCTTGGTAACCTGATATATGTCATATAGTTAGCTTATTTTCCTCAAAAATGACATACTAAGTCTAATTAGCTCCAAAATGATCAATTTTACCTAACTTAGCTCAAAAATGACCTAAGTTAGCTCTAAGTTAGCTCTAAAATGCTAAATTAGCTCTAATATGATCCATTTTACCTAGGTTAGCTTCAAAATGATCTAGTTTACCTAGGTTAGCTCCAATATGATCCATTTTACCTAGGTTAGCTCCAAAATGACCTATTTACCTAGCTTAGCTCTAAAATGACCTACACACTTAGCATTTTTACCTAGCTTAGCTAAAAAATGGCATTTTTACCTACCTTAGTTAGAAGAAGAAGATAAAGAAGAGGAGAGGAGAAAAAGAAAGAAAAGATAAATTCTTCTTTTTTTCTTCTAGCTAGTCTTCTTCTTCTTCTTCTTCTCCTTCTTCTTCTAACTTTCTTCTTTCTCAATTTGCAGATTTGCTTTATATGAGGAGCCTACGTTCATGGAGTCTACTCTTCTCCTTGTGCTTATTTTATGTTTTTGGATACTTGTTGCAAACTTGTTGTTGGATATGTATGTATGGATGAAACCATTTTATGTTGGATAACTTGTTGTTGGAAACTCGTTATATGTGTTGGAAACTTGTTATATATATCTGTGAAATTCTGTGAAATTGAATGAATCTAAGAAAAAATAGGGGCTGTACAGGCTCTTTGCCATCTGCTGGCAGACGGCAAAGAGCTTTGCCATCAGCCAACA